ATATTAAATTAGTGAAATTTCAGTTATTAATTAACATATAAGAATCGGTCATAATATTGTAATTAAAAATAATGGTCAATTCAAACGATTTAAGTTAAAAATTACATATTCCATGCCGTTTTCTGCTGTGGCGCAAATAACCAAAACTAATTTTTTTAAATACAAGTTATATTTTTATATTTTGGATCAAATTACGCGTGAATTTAAATGTACTTATTGGTGGCACGAATTACAAGTAATACCAACTGGAGCAACAAAATACCATCTGTTCTCTCGACGGTGTTGCTGCACGAGGTTATTATTATACACAGAACACGCGTGATGGGAAGACGGATCGGCTTAAAAAGTTGAAAATGAATGAATCCAACGAGGGAAACATCCGCTCGTACGCGGCGGCGTATTTACCGATTAAAAAGAAAATATAAATAGAGAAGGAGAAAAATCTCATCACATTTCTACCGTCAAACTGCAGATGGTTCTCGCGGAGAAGAGAGTGTGTGTGCTGCCGCAGCAGTGTGCGTAAATCGATTATGTGTCGTTCGGATAAATATAAAAATATAATACACCTATATAATATATTGTACAGGTACGTACGCCGAATGTTTGATCGTGTTTCCGTCTATTAAATTATGAATGATGAGTTTTTACGCAACATTAATGTATACGCGTGCACATCATATATTTTTCATCCGAGTGCCTATAATACCTCGTGTATGTATACAATATACATATATTATTATTACGCTTAAATGCGACGATGTCGTCTACCGCGTGGAGGGTTCATGTTTAGGTGCATATATTATATATATACATTTTTTTAATGTTCCCGACGAGTGTGTGTGTGTAGTAAAATGATTAAAAAAAAATCTCGCAAACAGATTGTCGAGGTCGTCAAACGCGATTTATGTACACGCATATTATTATTATTATTACATTATGTATATACTATACATAGGTACAAACACAACGCATATAGCTTGCAGGCACTGTCTATATATATATATATATATATAGGTATACACGGTACACATCACGGTACATATTATAATATAGCCAAGGGTCTCTAAACTTTTTTTTTACCGGTGAGTCGTAATAAACTAAAAGATCTTCGGAGCATTTTATATTATTATGATAGGTACTGCAGTCGCGTTTACACAGCTTTTTATAGTTTTATAGAAATCTCGACGACACAATAGCTGCAACTTGCAAGTATTTACCGGTTGTTACCAGCGGTGTGTGTCGAGAAAAGTTTAAATATTTCACGCTGGTGTTTATCTAAGTGTATTTTACCCGTGCCGAAAAGGAATTTATCGAAGTTAAGGTGTCGGTATTGATCGCAGGACTATACTATAATTTAATATGTCGTTGTTCCTACTTCATAAACAAAAGACGGATAATACGAATAGTTTATTTTTGGATTGTTCGCGGCAGTTATCTCCCTGCAGCCGGAGGGTGACTATATATTATTGTATGCCCCACAAACGACTTTTGTACACCGGAAAAACTCAATTAATTTCCTTATTCCGTTGAACTGGCGAACGGAAAATTCTAAAGTACGGTAATAGGTATAGTTCAAATAATGGAGTACGAATGGTTGTATATGGAAGTACCACCAATATAGTAAAAACTTGTCCACAGGTCGTAGATTGGGCACCACTGCTGCAGTAAATTGGCCCATACATGTTCATGATTATGTACCGCATGTCAATTAATTTTTTGACTCGGGACACTCGCTATTATTACCCAAGTCAATTGTCATGTTTTTTAAAACAATATTTTAAATATTATATTCGACAGTCTGAAGTACTCCAGTTGTTTAGTGTATAGGTAACGCTGTTATATTTTTCTGAAATAATCTAATAATTACAGTGGTAATTTTTTAATTTTGTTTTGTATTGCTCTATTTAAATGATAACTACCGCAAAAAACCGACCGGTGCAATGAGCGAACCATAAAAGAATCATTTTGAGTTAAATAGACAGGATGATTACTGATTTTTTTTAATTGTTAAAAGAAAACTCATTTTCTTGAAAAGTATTTAAGTATTTGGTAATATAGTTTTTAAATAGTTTGAAGTAATTACAAAACAGAATTTTTCCTATTTTTTTTTTGCTTTTTACTTTTTCAATGAGTGCATACATTTTTAATTTCATATTCTGAAGTAGAATATTCTTAAATGGCTTTTATGTACCAATATGTTAAAGGTTAAAAGTAATATCTAATTAGTTATAAGTATATATAAAGGGTAGACAGATGAGTTGAATAAATGAACAACATTTCGCTGAGTACCTCACATATGTACCACTCCACTCATCACGACAATATTTAATATCTATAATTAATCATCTACCAGTCGAAATTCGATTTTTACATACTATAACGATTAACAAATCGGTTTCGTACAATGAAGTTAAAAAATGTATGTGGTCCATAAAAAATGTCTTATAAAATTATAACGATAAAAAAATGGTGAAAATTATAGATTTTTTTTTCAAAAACGTATTGTTTCGTAATGATTTTAAATCATCTGAAAAAAATATATCTCGATCCTTTTCGATATAGTATACGTACTATATTATACAATATACATAGTCAGGTACAGATAAAACTAGCTTGTTCCTGTATTATGCATACGACACACGTAGGTATGGCGTTACGGTCAATAATTGTTGGCATAATATATTATCGTAAATACCTATCCATGGTTATAATACGATGACGTGCAACGCAATAACGATTAGTGATGGGGCCCGTCAATGTGCAGTATAATATTATATTAAACTGAAATATATGATTATTATTAATCGTCGGCGAAACGATTATCGCGGATAATATCATTATAATAATACTATATATAACCTGTACGATTTCACCTACCTGTTAACAGCACCACCGCTCGCTACCGCCAACACGCGAGTGATTACTATACGGTCGCGCGGCAGTAGGGCCTATTAAAATATTATTATTATTATTAGTAGTAGTAGTAGTAGTAGTAGTAGTAGTAGTAGTACTATAACGCCACACCGCAATATAATTAAAAGCATCGCATTATTATACCGGTATGATGATAAGTGCGCATAAGTACAACGCCTACGTCTGATGTGAATATAATTACCACGGGACGTCACCTATTATAGGAGGAGATTATGTGCGGTTTAGCGTATATCATACGACGTACGGAGTGATTCACCGAGTACGCGTTCACCGCATTTTTCTTCGCCGATAATGCACTCGATCAAAATATGATTTTCGGAATTTTCAAATACACCCACTATTAAAAACCGTATTTTTATTCAAATCCTTGAGATTTTTCGTGCCTATACCAATCAAAGAGTGTCTCCTGTGGAGGTACGAAGTGCTGTTTTCAAACACGATACCCCCCCCCCCCAATATTCAACTGTAAAATATTTAGCAGATATTTTTTTCTGGAAATGTTGAAGTGTCAAAATCGAAATTCAATCGATTATAGTTTTTGGGTTATGTAATTTTGTGTTTACTAAGGACAATAGGTCCACCAAGGACCCATTGCCGTATTGGGTTTGGAAGATAATGTTCGAGAAAATTGTACTAATTTATATTAATCTATCAAACATATTAATTTATAAATACTGTCCAAGTATAATGAATACTATAGACAATTGTATAGGAATTTTATATTTACGAAAAAACCATTATTTAATGAAGAATTGAATTTGAATTTTGAACTAGGCACATCAAAATAACCTACCCACATCAAAATGTTGAAAAAATTATCCACTAAATAATTCAAAACAGTTATGGGATATCATTTGAGAAATAGAAGTTGTCTATCGCCACAAGACGTCCGTTAGTACAAAAAAATGTCAAGAATTTGAATATATATTAATATTATGGTCTTCTAGTATAATATTATTTAAAAATTCCAAAAGTTTATTCGAATAAAAAAGCATAAGAAGGCATGCTTGGCGAGAATCGCTCTGTACATCGGCGGGCGGACGTATGACGCAGTATTTTATTACGGTATTATGCGATATCGTCGACCATAAAATGTATTCGGCGTGTGTACCTAAAGTCGTGGAATCGATTTCAACGATTTCCCCCATTTCGAATCTCGTCCTCTTCGTACATGCACCTCATCGTTTATAAATTATACATCAGTACATCACACCGAGGGACGACGTAAGTAATCGTATACATAAATAAAAATATATTTTATACGATATTGTACTGGAAATGTAGACGTCAGTTATTGCCGCGCTAGAAGCCCTATTTGTACGATGCTCAGTCCACGGATTTGTGTTGCATAGGTATAATATAATACGATGTTATCGTTCGATAAGTCAATCAATTCTAATAATTGAAAATATATATGCAGCTCGCACGAAAAAAAATCTCGAGCCCTCGTCTCTCCTCGGCGGCGGAATTTTCGATAATATTATGATCGTGTAAGACTTCGCATACGTATCTGCGCACTTTTTGAATCTGTTGTGGTAATTAATTCATAAAAATTCGAAGTTTTATAGAAGATACAAGTGCATGTTCGAATCCGTAGTAATAATAATAGCGATAATAATAACGATCTACGACCAGTGTGATATTTCAATCGGGCTTAATATTTTTTTAAATATTTTTTATGTAACATCGGTACTGCGAAAACTTTTATACCCGCGCAATATAATACTCGTGGGTTGGTTCGAAGGTGTAGCATGAAGTGTTTTTTGTGCATAAGTAATAGCAATGACGAATGTGTCATCTATATCAGCGTTTCCAAAGTGTGTTCCGCGGAACCTTAGGGTTCCGTGGGACAATGTCAAGGGTTCCGCCAGATGTATGAGATTATTGAGAAAATTATGTTCATTTAATGTTTGTTATTTACAAAATTTTTGATTGAACATTTTTTTTTTAAACTAAGTTTAATAATGAAAAGTCATTAACAGTATCATTAAAATATTATTTAGACTTGAGAGTTTGGAGAATTGATTTACCTTTTTTTATTTAGAAAAATTGTAGTTGAGTTGGATTAGACATTAGGGTTCTGCGAAACACAAACAATTTTTTAAGGGTGCCTTGGTCGTAAAAGTTTGGGAACCGCTGATCTATATAGTGCGATATGACGAAATCGAATTATTCTCTCCGAGATAAACGATACGGGTATAATGCATTTACATAAATCATAAAACGTTTCGAAACGGTTGCGATGCAAAAACAAGGCCGTTCGAGAGCCTCCAAAGTTTCTCGGAGGGTTGTGGGTGCGGGCGGACGATGTCGGGTATACGTGTGTGTGTGTGTGTGCGGGTGGGTTACTGGGTAGATGGTATCATTGTTTGGTTGTAAATGATTTTAATAATATGTGTGAGCATGACATTGCAGTCCACATTGTTAACGCGATAACAATACGTCGTAATTAATCGTAATGTAGAGTTAATTACATAGGCGAATTGACCGGCACGAGCGGTCTTATAGCTATTTGACGAACAGATCTTTGAGCGACGAACAGATGGACGTGTCGCACGTGCGGGCGGCCGTGCTCGGGTCGGCGGACGTCTTGGCGACGGGCTTGCCGCCCGGCGGCTGCTGCTGCGACAGGTGTTCGTGGTGCTCGCCGTCGGCGGTCGGCGACGTGTCGGCGCTGTCGCCCGTCTTCTTGGCGGCCAAGAAGCCCTCGATGGCCGTGCCCAGCACCTCGGCGTTCACCACCGAACCGGTGGGCCGGTCCCACACCACTACGTCACCACCGTTGGGCGCCGGTTTCTTGTCGACGGACGACGACGACGGCGGCGGTGGCGGCGGCGGCGGCGGGGACAGCGGTGCAGCCGAGCAGTGCTTGTCCGGTTTGCAACCCGACGACGACGGATCGATCAACAGCGACACCTTTGGCCGTTCGTCCGCAAACGTCACGACGACGGGTGACTTCTGCACCACGTACTCGCCGCCGCCGCAGCCGCCGGTGGCCAGACGCTGTTCCGCGCACTCGGCGTCGGCTCCCCGCTGCCCGCCCGCCATCGATACCGCGGTCGCGGTACGGGTGGACATTTTCCGGAACCAGTTCCTGGTGCTGTTACCCGCAGCCGCGGCCGCCATGGCCGCCGCCGCGCCTATGTTGGCCACGTCCACGCTGTTGGACCGACCTGCACGGAGCACGTCCCGGCGACGGTCGCCGCCTGCACTGGCGTCACCGACCACGCCGGTCGGGAGGCTGTCCGTGGTCTTGCTGCTGCCCCGTTGCCGCTGGCCACCGCCTTTGGTCGACTGCAACGCTTTGGTGGCCGTCGACTTCAACGAGTTCATTATCGACAGCAGATCGGTGTTCGTGCACACGATCCCGGACGTTTGGGCCGCGGACGCGGTCGCCGACGACGGTTTGCCGGCTTGCAGCGTCGAGTTGGGAGGCAGTTCCGACGCGCGCCGCCGGGGAGGTATGGGCGGAGCGATTTTTTCGCACACGTCGATGTTGGAATACCTCCTGGCCTCCTTGAACCTGGAAAAAGATGCGAAGAAAAGTGTTTGTATATTATATCGTCATACCGGTCGGAAGCTACACCCGCAGGGGGGGGGGGACAAGACGTCGATATACAGTGAGTATATATCGTCCGTAGCGACGGTCGGGGGTCGAAGTTATCCCCGCTCCCAGGTGGACGCGTACCTAGCGATGGGGAAAGTCCACTCGGCAGCGAAGAAAGGCGCGTCCTGGGATGCCCATTGTCATAAAAGGGGGAGGGGGGGGGGTCAGAGTTATGACCGAATTTGATTTTATTCGCATATAAATACTCAAACGGAATTACGTTTGATCTCGGGATCAAAGTGGTAAAAAACCCCACAATGTGTCGTTACGACCGGCGTCGTCGTTATAAACGGTACTGACCGGGCGCATAGTTTTTTTTCCTACACACACACTGAAGATAATAAATCATTTTCGCTCGACGAAGACACGACTATGACGTACGAGTATATTATTTCCCGATCGTACGAACCATATCGCTGTGCGCGGGTAATTGGACTGTAGACTGCGATGCCAGGGAACTCGGAAATGTAAATAACAATATTAATTTAAAAACACTGAGCGTATACCGTCGAAGGCGTCGTTTAGCGTCCTAAACATTGTTTCTCGTTTGAACTGTAAACATCGGCATCATTCGTTTCGTTATTCCGGGCGGGCCGCATATTTGTTTGCTCGGTATTTCGGATTCTGCAAATAATTGTTTTGGCCACGTTGACGATTGATGTCGAACAATACGTTTTTCAAAGCAGATCTCTATTCGTATAGTCACGGTAAAAAGTCACGTTCCGGGTTTATCTTTTTTTTTATACAAATGTGCTGGACGGCGCACTGTGTAGGCAATTTAGGTACATAGCGGTGTGGGAGAACGGTTTAACACTCGGACGGTCTATGCTGCACTGTAAGTCCTATTGATTATTATTGTTTCGTGATGAAATTGTCCATTTCTTGGTTTGAAATCGTATAAGCTACTTAACTACTGATTTCAACTGGCGGGCGAAGTAGCCAAGCTCATTTCAAAAGGTTTCCGACACCGTAATATCCATAACGCCGTCCTAATCCCCTTATCTCTGACCAGCATCCATTAGCCTTTTAGAAAATACTCCACGTCGCGAAAAACATGGAGCGGAGACCTCTTTAATGGCCGGCGTAATGGTATTAACTTAGGTCCCACCGACGGGATGTCTCGAAACAAGCACCTTATCAATTATTCATATCATTAATTCATCGAACAAATTTACACACACAGATTGTATTCATTTGTGATGTACATAAAAGTAAAACATGTTACAGGTATCGAAATGTAAGTGATTTTTAATCATTCTTTTAACCCAGACAAGTAATGAGTACGAGGTTGAAAAAAATAGTTGGTTTCACTATAATTGGAGTGTTTTGAAAAAAATTTAAAAATTTACTGCTACAGTTGTACTCCTTAAAACGGACATTTTTTTCAGAGCACCATTTTATGCCGGCTGCTAATAATGACGGACGTCAACACCAAGATCTAATTTTAAAAAAGGGGGAAATTCGGTAACCACTCTGCCTTACAATAGTTGTAGGCGTCGAGTGTACATCGTCATTGAGTAAGTCACTGCGGTCGTAATGATGTGCTAAATTTGAATTTCATGATAATATTCCGATACTGCAAATACCGAAAACGAGCAAAGGCAGTTGACAGCCTATACTGCTAAGTGTAATCTACGACGTATTTATTTTGCTAGTATAGTAATTTATTTTACTATTAGTAATATGTACCTACAATAAAGTTGGCTGAATTAATTTTTACAGAAAACGCTGCTTTTATTATGTCATTCACAATGAATACCGTAGATCGGTGAAAATAAGTTAATGGCATAAAAAATAGTCAACACCAAAAAATTAATGAAAATGTTTAAAAAATATGTTATTGTACAATATTATATACTTATATTAAATATAGTAATCAACATAATAGTGAAAAGTGCCCAGGAATGATATTTTTGAATTACCACAAAATAACTAAAATCACTTTCTCCTTCATTTAAACATTAAATATATTTCGTCCTAATATGAAGTTTGAATGTCTATGTATATTAATATTGTTTAGATTTTTTGATTTCAATAGAAGAACCTTGTATCAAACATTCAAACTGTTCTACTAAGTGAAAATTGTTCTTATTCACATCTATAGAAAAAAACTAAGAAAATCTAAAATGTTTATAAATAATAGTTCGAAATATTTTGAAAATGTCACGATAATTTATTTGAGTAACATTGGAATGTTTCAAGTTTCTGCGATTAATACTTTTTGAATTAGAACAAAGAAACAAAAATCGTTTGATGATAAGTAATCGTTATTTTATGCATGAATATCCAATTTCGTCAAAATGTATTTATTATTCAGACCCTAATATAAAATATTTGTGGAATTACGCTCAATTTAATAACAACTCGTGAGGAACTTTGTATTACATTTTTAAGATTTTTGACGTAGAAAACATTTTTTTATCAATAATTATCGATAAAAATCGAAAACCTCGCAAGTTTATACAAGGCTCAAAAAGAGTAAAACTATTTTGATACTTATACCGTGTATAGAAAGTGCTAACATAAGCAATAAACATTTAGTGACAATATCAAGTGCATTCTGCAATTGATTGTTTTTTCAATTATAACCAAACAAGAAAATCGCTCTTGTCAAACATCAATAATTAATAAAAAAAAAAAAAGAAAGTACTGGGAATATTTTACTTTTGACCTCCGGCCAAAGCACCAACCAGAAGGTTCGTTTCCTAAGCACCGGAGTCATTGGAGTCGAAAATCCAAGCAATATTGTTGCTCCAAAAGGCGATGACAGACAAAAAAACAAAAACCAAAAAAAAAAAACCACATCATTGTAAAATCAATACGTTCAGCGGAGCGGCGCTCAGAATCTAAAGCGGTGATTTACGAACTCCGAGAAAATGTTGTGCGGACCACGCGTGACTGGACAGTCGAAGGGCGTAAGGAACAACGCGCAACAACAACGAAACGAAATTCGAAAATGGTAATTAATAGCTGCAGGTGCGCAAAACAAACATAATCTACTCGTGCTTTCACTTCTGTCGCGTTTTTCTCGTTTCGCGCGAAACAATAATCGGCCCGAAAAACGACCGTTCAAACGCACGCGGGTAATAACCTAACCGCATTAACCGCAATTATTATAGGCAGCACCCTAAATAATTTTAACCCCCCCCCCCCCCACAGTAAATATATCCTAGGTGTTATAGTTACCGGGGGTAAATATATACTTGGATATTTTGACATCCCCTGGGGGGCAAATATATCCTAGGACATTTTCACCTCCAGTAAATTAACACTGGGATATATTTACCCCCCGGTAAAAATGTCATTTTTGGTGGGTATAAATATACTAGGCGTTAATTACCGCCAAGGTAAAAATGTACTAGAATATATTTACCCCTGGGTGAATATATCCTAGGATATAATTACCCCCCGGTAAAAATGACTTGTAGAGTGGGTATAAATATCCTGGTATATATTTACCCCCGGTAACTATAACCGAGTATATATTTAACCCCGGCAACTATAACCTAGTATATATTTACCCCCGGTAACTATAACCTAGTATTTATTTACTCCCGGTAACTATAACCTAGGATATATTTACCGGGGGTAAATATCGCCTGTTACACCGGCCATATGTTTTGTCTTTAGTGTCGTATTAAAATATTGTTATTAAAACATATACCGCCGACGGTAATTCGCACGAGCCCGGTACGTGGTATAATTCCGTCGTTAAACCGCTCGATAATCGCTCTGGCAGTAGGTATTCGTGATAAATATTTTATTATAATTTATAGGGTGAATAATAATATATAACATATATTGTCATATAAACCATCGCTCCCGAGCCACCGCAATCGTTTACACACTATTACCGCCGCGTCTTATCGCCGCCATTAACCGACACCAGCCCCCCCCCCCCCCCCCCCCCGAGCAGATTTGCAGAGTTCGGTTTAGGGCTTTAATGATTATTATTGTTGCACCGTCATAGCTGTGTATACAGTGCGCGCATCACAATATTATATTGCCGCAACAAAAACGCCGAAGTGAAATATTTCTCGGCGAGTTTATATTATAGGTAGGAGGTACTCTCCTTGTTTTGCTTTGTGCTCAATTGTTCGGAAGAAATAAAAATATCCGCGTTCATCCTCCCTTTGTTCGAAGTTTAAACCGAAAAAAATGGTTTTCTTAACAGAAATATTTTTTTTTTCCGTTGAAAAGTTACGGGCGAAGAATATATCATGCTATTATTTTATCGCGTGCAACCGCATATCAAAGAGATTGCGGTACGTTTTGCTTTAGTTTTTTTTCGCGTGTTGACAAAACGGCATATATTTTCCACTAGATTACGGATTTATATCTCGCCGCCGCCGCCGCCATATATGTGTGCAGAGTATGGCAAGGCCGGGAGATGAAATGTGCAAACATTTTAAATTTTATATTTTTATAAATAAAGGGTTGAGACTCGTGAGAGATGAGTTTATCTTACAGCGGGGTGCGGGGCAGTTTTCGGAATACATTTATTAATTTTTGCCGTATTGCGAGTCATACACCGCGATGGTAATAACATCGATTCGGTAGTCATTCTTTCATTTCCCGTAAATTACATTTCCAACGATAATTTTGTTTATTTATCGTGACTTTATGGGCATGAGATGATTTTACATTATTTTTCATTTTTAAATGTATTTTTGACAGTTTTTTTGCATAGAAACGAAAACATATTATTCATATATCACACGCTGTACCATAGCACTGCACGAGAGAACGTTAAGAATCCAACTTGATAAAAAGAAATAAAAATATTATTTCTCTTTCGAATTTTTGAAATGAATTCCATGTATAATGTATATGCATTATATATGTAATATGTATATTCCATTCCGTGTATAGAAACTTTGAATAGAAAACGTTGAAAAACTCATTTTATATTTATATGTATACTCGAACACCGCACATTTTTTGAGTTTTCAATACATTTGTCAGTAATATTTTTATGTGGAAAACTTTTAATGACAATTATACTCAGAATGTTTTTATACCCAAAACTTTAAATCACAAGATAATATTAAGGATATCCTAGTTTATAACCAACCTCAAACAGTAAGACGTATAACAATAATAAATATTACATTTCTAGGTATACCTATACTTATTAAATATTAGTTATTAAGTTACGAGACTTATGGTTATAATCATCGTCATTAATAATCAGTCGATGGGATATTAACTATACACGTTACACGAGTACATCCATCATGTTAGTAAAAAAATGTATGCTTCGTTTTTAATGCCTTACTTACAAAAGAAATGTTTAATAAAAACTCATTTCTGTTTGTGTAAACGTTCTAGAAATCATTAAATTAGGTACATTCTGGATATTTTTTTAAATATTATTTCTACGGTAAAATTAGTTTCATATTACACGCTTCCAGAAAATGATTCTGTTTACATACCTTAATTGGCTAAACTCAATCAATATCCATAAAAATATTCCTTGTTGATTAAAAAAATAATGTATTTACGGTTTTTTATTTTCTGTTATTATTAGGCTGCACAATCAATTTTAATGCAGTGATTAATGAAAATCTTGAAAAAGTTTTTTAATATTGAAATTTTATAGGGTATACTATACATGTGTATATTATTAGTTCTGGAAAAGTAAACACTATGTCTTATGTTGGTGAGATATAAGTAAGTTTGTTAAAATACAATGATTTAAAAACTTAGTTCTATTTTATTGATTTAAAGTTTTTCGAGCGGTTTACATACGAAACATTATTATAATGTCTAACAAAGTTTAATATATTACAATGTCAAATAAAGCATAAGTAAGATAATTCGGTTGTGTTGTGTAGAATAAAATATGTACTTGTTTTATTATTGTTCTTACAGTTGGGTTATTAATGTGCTATGCATAATTGATAATTCTCTGGAAACAAAAAACTCATTATACTGCTTAAATTTAAAAACTGCTGGGCTATTGACATTTAAAAATGTAAAAGTAAAAAAATTACGATAAAAAAATCATAAAAAATTGGGTGGCTACTAGTTTTTACCGCAGTCGACATTTTTTCTGACCTGTGTTTTTTTTGGGTTAATACTAATTGCGGACCAGGTTTTTTTAGAGTATAAACGAATTTGTTTTTAATGATTGAAATTATTAAATATAAAAATAAACATTATATGACACTTCATTTCCCTGCTGATATTTATTCAAATGTTGTACTGTAGATTATTACTACAGGTATGTGTTGTTTGTTTTTTTTTTTAAATGATGTTTTAGATATACTTTTTAAATTGTTGTTATGTTTTTTTAATATTAATATTAATGCACTGGATAAAATTTCTCTGACATTTAATTTTTATTTTTGTTGATTTTTGTCTGTAATTATTGAATAGCCAGATAATAACATATATGCTAGTCATAATATCTGAGATTTATAAAAATAATCTGATGCTTAAAATATTTAACTTGAATTTGACAATAACTCTGGCTGAAATGCGATTTACATATTTTTCCGTAGTCATCTTGTGGCGTAATTGATATGCGGCTACAAGTTATACTTAATGAACTGTAAAATAATTTTGTAAATAATATTTTGAGAACAATTTTTTTACTAAATACGATAAGAGTTACATATTAATAGATTTCAGATTTGTGTATAATATTATGTATCACAAAATATTAATATTACTTTACATTATATATGAAACGGAGATAGGCAGAGAGACAGAGAGACAGAGAGAGAGAGAGAGAGAGAGAGAGAGAGAGAGAGAGAGAGAGAGNAGAGAGAGAGAGTGAGAGAGAGAGGGGGGGGGGTAGCCTGTGTTTAGTGGGTACCTTCACAAGTGTTCTTGAAAATACACATTTATTTAAATGAAAACGTTAATGAGTAATATTATGTACAGAACTCCGAAAAAGTTTTCAATACAATCGCGTTATGCCGACTATAATTTATTAACAATATAATGTTATTCATAAAGTTTATATACTTTCGTAAATTTATACCCACGCTACCACTGTGGGTATGCAGTTTTTCTTATTGCTAGTTAATGAATTCAATTGACGTTTCTAAACTTCGCGGGTTTGAAACACAATTGCATGCAATACGGCAAAATATATTAAATATGTATATAAGGAATGATCCGTTTAACAGGCGACAGTTATTCTTTTTGACGACTTCAAAAAATAAATGATTTTATATAGTTTAAAGTTTTTACAAATTTTACGAGGCACCGCTTGCCACTCTACCCCACTTCACTGAACTGCCATGGCTCATAAATAAAAAAAACTATATTTCGTATTTAATAATGATAATTAAATACATCGCCATTTTTCGATCAATTTTTTCTTTCGGGTCACAAAAACAAGAATTTAAATAAAACATTGTTATTTTAAAAATTAATGAAAAAAAAAAACAGTACCTATAATTATTAGACACGGACTGTTGGGTGCTAAAAAAAAAAAACCATTGACACAGGAAATGAGTGTAAGCACTTATAGACGGATCATTTAGTTTATAACAAACTATAATTGAATGGTTAAGTGGATTAGTGGATCTAGTGTTAAATGGCATTCTTAAAACATTTCACTCCTGTATCTGCATGTTATACACCCAATGTTATCATTGTTATGTCCTTTATCAACTTGTGTATCTCTGAACAAAATGGTTCAACTGGCTCACAAGTTTGTTACAATTTGTGCGCGTAATGCGTATACCTATTTATGCTATGATGAACTTCCTTATCTGTGCAACGATACAGATATTTTTAAAAAAATTTCACTCGACCCTCAAGTCGCCCCACCCGGGGTACACCTGTCATAAAAATATTATCACGGAACTCATAATATTGTATCATTATAGGTATATACTCCGAATTGGTGTACCTGGACATTTGCTTGTTTTCGCCGTCCATCGACTGGAGTTCGCACATCTTTTCCTTGTCCTCCGTTTGCCACATCTTCATCCGGACCTTCCGCGCCGCCTTGATGTCTGCTATGTCGTCCATGATGTCCAGCTGCAAGTTGAACTGGCTACCGGTGGGAGACGGCGTGGCGCCACCTGCCGAGTCCCTGCGGTTCACCCTCGGACCCTTGCTGGGGAACGCTGCGATCGATTCGCGCCTGTTGCGGCCGAACAACGGCATAGGAGCCTTTGATATCGTGATGACCGAATGTCGGCGACCCGGGGTGTAGGGCCCCGGTGCCTGGGTCAACGTGGCCAAGAACGCCTGTTCCCTGGCGGCTGCACCGGCTGCTCCCTGATCGCTCAACCTCCGCACCTGGAAATAGTGTATCAGAAGGTATTAGTCAGGAGATAGGCGACAGATGATTCAATTTTTTTTTCGAGCACAACACACTTGGTAGTAGTTGAGCAACCTAACCCAGTAATATTTGATTTTTAATTTTAAGCTATCGGTACTTATTTTTGCTTTAATTTAATGGAGATACAAATATAATAAATAAACGAAAAACACGATCTAAACTCCCAAGGGTGGATCCATCCCGTCATCCCCTACAAATAGGTGACTGATTGCTATATATACTATTTCTGGTTTTATATATATATATATGTGTACTTATACATTGGGTGGTGCATGATAACCAAACGCTTGGTTCTGTCAGAGAGTATGCCCACGAAAAAAGATATTTTTTTATGATTCTTTCGGGAAATATTTTACCACCCTTATTTTTATATTGTCATCCTCATATATTACAACACGTCTGTTGGTGAAACTATCGATTTCTAAGTTTAAAGCTTTAACTTTTACAGCTATACATTTAATTTCATATAATATGGAGCTAAATAATGTTCTTAAAATGTTTTGGTTACTATCTAAAAATCAAAAGTTCTTAGTTAGTAAACATAATATATGAGCTAACAAAATAAGGAATACTGTATAAAAGTTAGAGCTGTGTGGATAATAAATTTTCCAAAAAGCAAACTTCGGATAAAGTCAACATTTTTATAAAATAAAATAAGTGACTTTAGTTTTTACTAAACATCAAATGTTCACTGTTAAACGATCTCTCTGTTTTACACAGTGTTCTCGCGTTGATGATTTATTAATTTAGTAAGGAAATTTACTACCTATATTATGAATGTAAGTGTTCTAGGCAACACTTTTAGAATTTAATGTAAGCGTTCGAGTACACGATTGTGATAGATTATATGCATATGCTGCTAAAATCCTGCCTGTGTTACAACAGCCTTATCGTACAGGACAATTTGTAGGAATATTTTCGAACAAACTATTAATTTAAAAAAAATATTTTTGAAATAAGACGTCAAGAAATTCGCAACGGCGTATAAAAAATAATAATAAAGTGTTAGCTTATTATATAACAACGTTATAACATATCATATAAGATTAATGTAATCTCTTATGAAAATAAGGAGATTATAGTTCGATAACGATATTAAATTCAAAATATATATTTTGTTTCTATACATTGTAATACTCTGTGCATTTTGACTGGTTAATCCGAGAGCATTCCAGTCCAACAATATATATTATTATCTTAAGCACATGTGTCGGATTACCGAAATGGATTCTTGTATGTACTATTTTTTTTATACATTTAGGTGCTGTGCACACTACTTGATTGTTACATGTATTATTGTTTTATTTACGAATTCAACATAATATTAGGTACTATTGAATAGGATATGCACAGTGTCTTATGTAATTATTCAGGACAAAAGAAAACCGACGATTTGGGGAGGTCAAGCGGTTGAAAGTTTAATTGTTTCCATATAAAATATAGTCTATTTTGTCAAAATTGTCACAAAAATAACATACTTCATTTAATAATAATAATAACACGAAACCGACGACCGACGTTATAGTTATTTTTCATTCCACTAGAATTCACGAAATCCCACAAATAATCAATCTTTGGTTCTCCCCTCGTCATAAGTTGTCCAGGAAGTCTGAAGAGATTATCAAAAAACGTAGGGTTGGTCACACAAACGTATCACATTGTTTCTTAATGGCTGAACGAAGACACCCCAACGTGCACCTCCTGCTGGGATCATATTGCACAAGCAAACTTATAATCTCAACATCAAACACAGTTTTCACAGAAAACTCGTTCGATACTCGGAGGACAGAGACAATTTAAAAGCTTTCGGCCGCGACGCGACAATGATCAAAGTTGAAAGTATATACCTGTGGAAAAGTAGAAAAGTAGTTTTAAAAAGTCGTTTTTATCATGTAACCCCCATATGTGAATTTGTTAATGGCGAATTATTATGCGTAATTTGTATGCAAATCAATGTATTGCTTATTCGTAGTTTAATCGTTTAACGTTATATATTTTATAGAATTCGCTATAAAACATAATATTAATATCACAACTTATACATTTTATCGAGATGTAGAAGTTTTGAAAATTTATTTGAGTTTAATTAGTTTTATATACTGTGTACAAAAACAATGTAAGTACACATTTTTAGTTCGTAAATATCAATTTATCACATAAATTGTAGTGTGATTGGCCAATGTCATTGAGTATAATGGAATTATATTACACAATAATATTATAATCGTTTGATAGTTATTACTCAGTACTATAATGTTATTACGTAGTTTATAAAAGTCTATAGGTAATTGGTATTTTATGCAAATATTTGCATTTCAGTGTATTTATTTCAAAAATATAAACCAAGAAAATAATATCCGGGGCGTCACTTAAACAACATTTTTGTTGTTGCAAATATATATATATATATATATTATAAATAAAATAAAACAACAACAAACCAATAGTATTAGCTGCTTTGTAGTAGTAAGGGAACAACTACAACACGAGAGTTCGTATAAAAGTGAAAAAACTATTTTTTTTAAATAATGAATAAATACAATTTCAAAGTATTATGTGGACGTGCTGTTTAGTTAGAGTCAATAAAATGCAATTAATACTTGTTCCAATCTGCACGATTAATTAGTATTACAACAATAATCGAAATGTATTATTCTCGAATGCTGGAGTAAATAATATCATTATTATAAACAATTTGCTTAACAACTGCAACTTTTTTAATCACAGTATTATTATTTTTTAATTATATTCTAAATGATGACACGACAGCTAAAAGATAACCGAAATGAAGTTAAGTTCGACTAATAGTACTAAATCATTATTTATACTAGTTTTGTGTTGATTTCACAATGTTGACATGCGTATTTAAAGAAATCGAAATATAAGTAAACATAACTAAGTGGATGGCATTATTTCGTGTCGAGATCCGAAGACGGAAAATTACGATTTCAAAATATTTGGAAGTTTACACTAAAAAATCAAGTGGTTGACTGCCAGTCTGTGGCACACAACTGCCGAACTACACAAGTGTTTATTTAATGATAGTGAAACTACTAATTTATTCTTAACTTGCAAGCGTGCAGTGGTTCATATTCTGAAGCTAAACGTATTACAAATTAAATATTGTTTAGGTGCCTCCTACTATAGGTACCTATTACAATAATGTTCCTATAAAATTGAACTGGTCAACAGACCGTGGATATTGAATTATTCGATTCGAAAAAAAAGTAAAAATCGGAATGGTATATAAGTATTCTAATATTTTATATAATTTTAAACCAATGTTAGTATTTAGGAAGTATTTTAGCTTTCCAGCGATGAATATTGACTTTTTTGAAATTAATTTGCGTTTCACTCTTCAAATAACGTTTTGTCAAATAGTCATTACTTATATTATGTTCAAATGTGATTTTGAGAAATGATTTAGTGAAATGAACCAAGTCATTTCTGCATTTGCATATTTGTATCAATATACATTGTCAATTCCACGTACAATACTCATTTTTCAGGTCCGGATTTTCCCATATTTTACCTCTAGGCTAATAAAAAACCAAGCACTCCTATAGGTATTGGCGGAAAAGGGAGAAGACACTCATCCCTTTCATTTTAAACATAGGGTACGTATGCCATCTATTTGTATTATACCTACCCGTATAAAAAAATGTATTACAATTTAATTTCAAATCATTTAAAGGTCGAAGAGAAAAAGCGTGTTATTGCTCCGGTTTCACCGATTTTTTTAACATAACCTATCTAATATCACAATGGGGGGGGGGGGGACAAAAGAAGACATTTAAAATTTAAATTGAAACGATACAAAGTTGATGTATGAAAACCGGGGGAGACGCTGTGCTGTATGGTAGATGTAAAGGTGTTGAGTGAGTCTCCGTAATGGATGTGTTAAATTTGAATTCAATGATATGAAATCATCGTATACGAAAAATGGTTCTGAGCTGAAACGGTCTGTCAGCCTATATCACCAAGTATATATTTTTATGATAATATTGCTATTAAAGTAATTTACTTTACTATCAGTATGTTGAAATGATTTTTTCCAAAAAACATTTCATTTATTATATTTTTAATGATAAATAATGTAAATGCTAAAATAGGAAATCGAAACATTTTTACTGCTCTACTGCTTCAAAAGGGGTTAACAGACAAAAAAAAAAAAATAAAACTCTCAACATTGTAAAATGTATACATTCATCGCCTCGCTGAGAATCTAAAAACATAATACATAATAATTAATTTAAAAAATGCAAATATAAAGTTGTTATCAATTATTATTGATGATGAATGTTTATGTTTGGCAATACTCTGCATTATTTGCAGAAAACGTACCTACTAAATTATTCACACCTTCAAAACCCATTGACGCTAGTAATTTTTTCGTTAGTTAAATGTTATATATGTTTATATTTGTAATTTTATCCCATCCGCTTAACTTATTATTAGGTACCTAGACACCGTAAATTTGTGAATTATGAGGATACAATTCTGCAAGTTCGATCTCATTTTTTAAGATTAACTGACGTTATGAACTATACTTAAAGTCATTCATTAAAAATCAAACAAACAAACATCCGAATATTTTCGAGATGATGTTTTTGATAAATGTAGGTTCTACACAATGTTATATTATACCTTACAGTCATGCCTGTACTTATGTCATTGTTAATTTCGTTTAGTATGGTTTGGATGAATTTTTTTTCCGATTATAAAAAAAAAAATTGGCATTTTTAAAAATTACTTGACTAGCAGTTATTCCCGATGTGCATTGCGGTGTCGGTAATGAGCGTTTCCGCATGTCTCTAAAAGGTGATAGGAAAAACGGGTCCTGCGGAGGAGTGTCGGGACATCCTTGCCCATTTCCGGCCACATCATCTATATCTTCGTCTTCTTCATAGAAACAGTTTTCTTGATCCACCACAATTACCGGCTCAGATTCCATTTTTGTATTGAGGTGTTCTGAAAACGAAAAGGAAATTATAAAATTTAATGATTTACTTATATTATGTACTTTGCAATATTCATTTACCTAGCTTATAAAGTAAATACAAAATCGGTTAAATTTAAAATGCATTCGACACTTGGCAGGATGGTTCTTATGGGTTTTAAGAGATTTTGTTTATATTAGGCGATTTAAGAAATATATAGCTAGCCAATTTCTTGTAAATAGTGTATTTACAAAAAGAAACAGTCCAAAAGTTCTAGGATCTACTCAGTCAGCTAATTTAGCATTGAAATGTATATTTGTTTTTGCAATTAATTTTCACTAAAATTAAATTTGCATTTTAAAAAATCCGCCGAATCAATGCAATAGTAGTATAGTCTGTGTAATAGAATAACAATATTCGCAATCATTTTCAGTGGTAATTGTCCAAACAGCCATCTTTACAACATATTTTGTTTGTGCACTTAAAAAAAAATATATACCATATCGAGTGTTATAATATGATGGATATTATATGTTAATATAAGAGTTAAATCACACGTACAATGTTATAGACGAAAGAAATCTTCCATTTTGTTCCAAGTGTTTAGTATGTAATACATATTTTACTCGAGTAATTACCTCTTTGGACTTTTGCAAATTTCTACACTGATAAATGTTTAAAATAAAACATATAAAGGCACGTACTTTTAATACATTTTTTTGTAGCTCACGTTATACAGAGCTATTTCGATTTATTAACCACGTTCGTGACTGTAACGGTTGACCGATTTATATTCACAAAGTCTGACTATAGTTTTTCTTTTTTTTTTCTTTTTTTTAAAAACCTTCATTTATCATACCGCGTATAATATTATTATAATAACCTTTTTGAAATATCTCTTCAGGATGTACGGCCAAGTAAAACGACACGTTTGTTACGATTAAACAGTGTTGTTTGTATTTCTCTAGGTGCGTTGGAAAACTGCGGTGTAATAATAAAGGCATCCTAGCTAGAGGTACTTTATCAACATGTTGGTTTTGACGTATATACAGAAGTGTTACAACAGAATTGCACGACGACTAGAAACTGTTACCTACGCTATAATAATACCAAACGAATAAAGTCGACCTTACATTATATATATACTGTACGCTTCAAAAAAAATGTTTTACCCAATTTCTTTGTTTGTACAACATTACTTACTTCAATTATTTGTATTATTATTGTCCCATTTGATTAATACTCTTGGAATGATCATCATCAAAGAGAAAATGATCATATAAACATTAGAATTGTTGCGATTTAAGGTCAAGATAATTTTACTAGTCAGTTTTTACTGATTCACAAATTTTTATTTTTAAATAAACGAAATATTCTGTAAAATGACGTCGTATAGTTTAGATCAAAACGATCCGATTCTTTTTAAATTGTATTATTTTGTAAGCTAAATATTTTTTACTGGATGATCATATAGGCAATATACTATGACTATTTATTGAGAAAAAATAGAAATTCAAATCATTTATTCAATGTAATCATCATGCTTACTGCTTAATAGTAATCGGAAACTATATTTTGCACTGGTGTGGATAGAATTCGAATATTGGCTAAAGAAATACTACCTACTAACACGCTGCAAATTGCAATGTTAAAAATAACTTTATGGTGACTTATTACAAAGAAACATTATTTGTTCATCTTATTACTTATTCGAAAAAACAAATATTCTGTAAACTATGGGGGAATACATTTATGATTTACTTTTGCGTGGCTTTGTCCCTCTAGTCGTGGCAATGTAAATATAACTCGAGTGTATTGAAGTGTATCATAACTGACATCTGTACCCATACTATTCAAGTTTATTATTTTTTATCGATACTGTTGGTATTATGTTTCTTCAAATTGACGAATAAAACAATTCAGCAATCCAAGCTCTTATTCGTTTCCCCCCTCTTTTTTTTTGTATTGATTTAAACTAAACCAAAAGAACTGGATAATATTTTGAATAACCGTAATCTGTTAGCGATGGTTGTCGTTGTACAAGTACTCGGCCGGATACGATTTTTAATTTGCGACGAAATGAAATGTAACGAGAAAACTGATAGAGCGTATAAGGATTTGTGCTGGCATAATCAAAAGGTCAAAAGGATCATCGACTAATTTAATATACGAAAAGGGCGAAAACGGTGGCTGCCCGACGTCGTGGAAGATTCTGAGTGTTATTCAATTGCGTTCCGTCGGCGGTAGTTGGATATGAAATTGTGCCGACATCGCTGATGTGGCGGAGCTGTGTCGTTTTTCGAAAAACCATCACGTCGCATATCCAGCACGGTCATTATTGGTGTACACACGACGCTCAAACACTCGGTGGTATTATTTTAATGGCGAAAATCGGCGGGTTCGCCGTCCTGCACAGGAACCAACGGTTATGTGATTGTCGGCTGCGGTAAGAGTTGGCGATTGATAAATATTCGGGAGTTGGAGAATGCAGCGGAGGAGGTGGTACCTGCCCAAACCGATTTGTTCTTCTGCATGAGAGTATTTTTATGTGCCTCCACAGATGTACAATACGTATAACAGGCATATGTGTGTAATATTGTGTACACGCATAAACCATATACGTATATGCGGATTCTCAGATCGTCTCTATGTGTATTGTAAATAATAATATAGGTACATGGATTCGTGTGTGTTAAAAGCGCGCGTGGACTGTGTGTGCTTTGACTCTGTGTTTGTTAGCACTCGGTAAATACAAATAATCCACTGCTCCGACGAAATCTGTTTATAAAAGATTAAAACGTCAGAAAAATGTCGACAATTATACTACAGACTCGTGCATCTTATTCGATGTAAATCGATAAATCTAATATAGAGTATATAAAATAAAGTCTACATTTTAGATGGAAAATGCGGCCCGTGGACTTTACGTCCTCAATATTATATAGAACCGTGTAGCGTCTGAAATCTGTGCAAAATAAATAGTTAAGTCTTACTGTATGCATATGAACGTGTTTACTATACCAGTATTAACTTAAGAACATATTTCTATTCTTTTTACAGACGACCTCTCAAAAATGCTCCAAAATACCGATCGATCTCATCCCGTATTCCCTTTACAGCATCATCTTTTATCTTAGCCTGTCATTAATCTAATTATTATATTCTTCGTTAACTCGGAGGCTCTGTGATATAATTTGTAATGATCTTCGTTTTCTTAGCATATTTTTTCATTTTATCCTTTATATCATCTAACCAAACTATTTTAATTATCCTAATAAGTAGTTATACATTGTAATAGCCATTCGCCAAAATGTCAATAATAATTTAAAAAAAATTAAATCAAGTTTTTTTTAATTAAATGATTATAAATAGGGTTATGATTTCATAAATCAATCGTGTATCCGTATACTTATACACTAAAAATATGCCCAAATAATGTTAGATATTTAACTGAAGTGCGTCTAGACAATGTCAAGTGACTAGAGATTACGGTGCACACGAAACATTGAAACTGGATTATTTTGTGAATTAGAAAGGTAGGTTAATCTATTACCTATAAAATATTTACCGTGGACATTTTCTACTAAAAATGACGAAGATAAAATATATAAAAAGTTGACTAAAAAAAAAAATATATGAGATATATCATTAAAAATAATTTACACTTTCTTAAGTGAATGAATCTATATATAATAATTTATAACAATATTGTAATTTAATCCTCACGAGGAGTGCGGCGAATGGACTAACCAATTTATTTTTTAGGAAACAAATTAACGATCTTGTAGAATCTACAAGGTCATCTGCGGTATAGATGATTAAGCCACTGAAATCGTAAATCAATAAATATGTATGACGAATAACTGACCGAAGAAAAGTAAATAAATGTTCAAGACCTACGAACACTTGTAAAGTTAAATTTATAATCACACTTCTTTGTATCGGAATTCAAGTGTTTGCGTTTCTTCTATATTATTTCCATCGTAGTATTTTATGAAAAAAAAATGCAATTACTTGAGTGTCGTGAGCAAATTAAAAATATTTATTAACCGCTAGATTCGCTGTATGGTTTATCGACAATAAGTTACCATGCAGTCTATAACGATATTACTATACAGTGACAGTTGTTATTTAGAAGTTAATAAATTCAACTCTAAACATCGGCTAGGCTATGACTTTTTATAACCGTTACGGTTAAATGTTTTAAACAGCATAATCAGTAATTTTTAGCACGTAGATGTTTTGTCGTCTGTTCGTGTAACTGAAAATCACGTAGGTTTTCGGTGTATCACAAAGTTTCACAAACTCTGTCTCTTATAATAACATCATCTGTTATAACCTTCAAGCGGCATGATTTCCTAGCATGATTATGCACGAGTTAAACAGTAGCCAGTTAGTTTACATCAACCCATTAGCCGTACGATATTGTAAGTATTTCAGTAGGTAACATAATTATATTATATTATACTCTCATCCGTGTACAATAGTTGAATTTACGCGGTAAATGTATTAGGTACTTCGAAAACACACACTGCAGCCAAATAATTTTATTCATAATAATAATGTTACAATATATTGCTAGTCTGTTTATACATATTAATATTATATGTCACGTTTATGTGCAATCACTGTTGTACTGACACGAAACGAGTTGGGAAAGTTTGCTCTGCGAGAGGGCCGAATTCTCGGTTTCCAAACGTATTTTGATAAAACTCTATAAAGCTATAATAAATTCCATTTACAATTTTTAAAATAATTATCTGGTGACCGTTTTATTTTGGTCGTCATTTTTTAACACCTATTGGCTACCGCGCGTGAGTTTACATTAAGATATATTATAATCATATTTTGATATTTTTTTTTGGACATTGGCTAGTATGAATTTACTCTGAACAGAACTCACGTGGTTACGAAATGTCAATACAAACAATCGTAACTATGTACAGCTGATAAGTATCGGACGAATTACGGACACAGCGGGGATACCTTTAGTGGTGTTCGAAAACTTGTGTTTAGAGACAGCTGAAATTG